ATTTCGGCGCACCCCTCACGCGGTTCGCGGCCCCATAGGGAGGTCCACCCAAGGCCCCAGTGGCACAGTTCGCATGCGTCCTCCCCGCCCACCGCAGGCCCATTTCGGCGCACCCCTCGCACGGTTCGTGGCCCCATAGGGAGCTCCACCGAAGGCCCCAATGGCACGTTCGCATGCGTCCTCCTCGCCCGCCGCAGGCCATTTCGGCGCACCCCTCACGCGGTTCGCGGCCCCATAGGGATCTCCACCGAAGGCCCCAGTGGCACAGTTCGCATGCGTCCTCCCCGCCCACCGCAGGCCAATTTCGGCGCACCCCTCACACGGTTCGTGGCCCCATAGGGAGCTCCACCGAAGGTCCCCGTGGCGCAGTTCGCATGCGTCCTCCCCGCCCACTGCAGGCCCATTTCGGCACACCCCTCGCACGGTTCGTGGCCCCATAAGGAACTCCACCGAAGGCCCGGGTGGCACAGTTCGCATGCGTCCTCCCCGCCCACCGCAGGCCCATTTCCGAGGGAGCTCCACCGAAGGCCCCAGTGGCACAGTTCGCATGCATCCTCCCCGCCCACCGCATGCTCATTTCGGCGCACCCCTCACGGCTCGTGACCCCATAGGGAGCTCCACCGAAGGCCCCAGTGGCACAGTTCGCATGCGTCCTCCCCGCCCGCCGCAGGCCCATTTCGGCGCACCCCTCACGCGGTTCGCGGCCCCATAGGGAGCTCTACTGAAGGCCCCAATGGCACAGTTCGCATGCGTCCTCCCCGCCCACCGCATGCTCATTTCGGCGCACCCCTCACGCGGTCCGTGGCCCCATAGGGAGTTTCACCGGAGGCCCCAGTGGCACAGTTCGCATGCGTCCTCCCCGCCCACCGCAGGCACATTTCGGCGCACCCCTCACTCGGTTCGTGGCCCCACCACAGGGAGCTCCACCGAAGGCCCCAGTGGCTCAGTTCGCATGCGTCCTCCCCGCCCGCCGCAGGCCCATTTCGGCGCACCCCTCACACGGTTCGAGGCCCCATAGAGAGCTCCACCGAAGGCCCCAGTGGCACAGTTTGCATGCGTCGCCCCCGCCCACCGCAGGCCCATGTCGGCGCCCGCTTCTCGCGGTTCGTGGCCCCATAGGGAACTCCACCGACGGCAGAGGCCTCCAACAGGGCCCCAAGACGGCCCACGAGGGCCCCAAGACAGTGCCTGATGCGCCCAAGACGCCCCGAGAGGGCACCATGACGGCCCGAGACCTCCAAGAGGGGTAGGACGAACCGAAAATCCAAGCTTTCCACCCCGAGAGGCTCTCATGAAACCCTAAGGGGGCTTCCATTACGACCCAAGAGGCCCTCAAGAAACTGCCCAAAGGGCCGAAGAGGTTCCAAGAGGCCTCCCAAGAAGGTCCGAAGAGGCACAACTCATTGTTTTCCCATTGGTTTTGACGGATTTTAGAGTTTGCAGCCTTTGGGCATCCCGACGCACCAAGACGGCCCAAGAGGCACCCAAGACCGCTCCACGATAGCCGAAGAGGCCTCCAAGAGGGCTCACAGACGGCCTACGAGGGCCCCAAGTCGGTGCCTGAGTCTCTCAAGACGGCCGGAGAGGGCCCCAAGACGGCCACAACAGAGGCCCAAGAAAGGGAACGCGAACCCAATAGCAGATCTTTCCGCCCTAAGAGGCCCACAGGAGGCCCCCAAAGTCCCCAAGTGGTCCGACGAGGCTCCCAAAAGCTTCCCAAGAGGTTCCAAAAGGCCCTCAGGAGACATACAAGGGGCCCCAAGATAGCCCAATAGTGCCCTCGATGCATCAACGCTGCCTCCAGGAGGCCCCCGGAAGGCTTCCGGATTGCCTCAGTGTGGCCCCAGGTGGCTCAAGTCGGGCATCCACGCAGCCAAGACGGCCAATGATGGTTCCAGATTGCAGAAGCAGAACATCATCTTCCGACTGCGGGGAGAACCCCGACGATGCCTCCAAGGGACCTTAAAAACCCAAGACGCCCCCCCAAGAAGCACCCACGAGGTGCCTCGAACAGCCAATTGAGGAGGCACGGAGAGCCCCCAGAAGCCTTTCAGAGGCCCCCACGAAGACCAAAGAGGTCCCCAAGAGGCCCTCAGGAGGCACGACTATGTCACGTGCATGTGCTTGATAGCGCTGTTCCAAATCTTCCAGCGCCCCTCCCCCCCGGCCTGCGCGATGGTTCTAGTTTATTATTATTATCATCATTATTATTATTGTCATTTGTATTGTTACTATTACTATTATTATTATTGTTGTTGTTATTCTTGTTATTACTATCATCACCACTATTATTACTATTATTAGTATCATTATTAGTATTATTAGTATTATCATTATTAATTTTATTCGTATTATTATTATTATAATATTCGTGTTATACTATTACTATTATTATTATTGTTATTGATATTATTATTAGTATTATTAGTATTATTATCATTATTAGTAGTATTAGTGTTATTATTATTATTGTTATTAATATTATTAATATTATTATCCTTATTAATATTATTATTTTTGTTTTATTATTTTTATTATTATTAATAGTATTCTATAGATACATACACACATCGATCAGCAAGCAGTTTTGTGGGAACCATATTTCGTCCGAGCATGGCCTGAGCGTGCGTATCGGTCAAGACCCACCGAGGTGGCGTTGCCATCCCGGCCGACCAGCCGCGCCGGCCGCCTCCCATCTCTCCCCCGTTGTCGCCATCGCGGATGCCATGGGCAATCCTTCTGCCTATGGCCCACAGTCGTCGTGGAGCGGGACTGGGGATCGGGCTTAGTCCCAGCGTGGCCCGGGCGTGTGCGCTGGTCAAAAAGCACCACGGGAGAGGTGGCGCTGGGCGTCTGCACGCGCATCCGTGCATGCACATATGTGTTCTTGTGCTTGCACGTCCACCGTCTGGCGATCGAGAGGAACAGGATGGGGAGGGGGAGAAGGAGAAGGAAGATAGGGGGGAACCACAATGGTGATGATGCGGGGGCAAGGAGAAGGATAAGGTGGCGGAGAGGCGATGGATGAGGGTGATAAGGAGGAGATGGATGACGAGAACGGGGGTAGGATGAGGAGGAAGAGGGAGGAGGATGATGAGGAGGATGAGGAGGAGGAGGGAGAAGTGGAGGATGAGGAGAAATGGGGGGAGGACGAGGGCCAGCAGCGGGGGCATGAGGGGTCCAGGAGCCCGAGCGACTCAGATGCCCGAGCGGCAGATCAGGCCCACCCTCCTCCTCCTCCTCCTCCGCCTCCTCCTCCTCCTCCTTATCATCCGTCTCCTCCTCTTCCTCATCCTTCTCCTCCTCCTCCTCCTCCTCCTCATCCACCTTTTCTCCTCCCTCCGCATCATCCTCCATCCTTCTCATCCTCATCCTCTCCTCCTTCTTCTCCTCCGTCTCATCCACCCCTCATCACGCGCTATGGTTCAAGCTCATGCCGAACCACTTTCGCGCCCGCCACCCCGCCCTCCCACCCCTGCGAGGGGGGGGGGCGAGTGGAAGGGTGTGGGCTCAAGTGAAAGTACATAGGCCCTGTCAACTTGACGCCAGGACCTGGCCGCATATGTTCAGGGCAACGCCCCGACGGAGGCCATGTCCTCCTGGCTGGCCGAAGAAGAGTTTCAGGCGCTGCTTCATCACCGCGGACGCGCCGCCGATCACGTCGCCGAGCAGGCAGCTGCGCATCGCGGTGATGGTGTTCCAGCAGAGCTCGTTGCTGAGGGCGGGCCAGCCAAGCTCAGCAAAGCTCCAATAGAACGCCTGCGTCTTAGGACGGTTCTTACCGTCCAAGACGTTGCCTGGAACGATCTCGTCGCAGTAGATGTATATATTGAGTGACACCTGATGCTTCTCCACAAGACCGAGTAACATCTCTCTGTGCGACACCGATGCCTTGCATGCCGCCTCGATCCAGGCAAACGGGTGCTGGAACCACGCCTCCACACTTGAAGAACTCAACGGCAGCTCGAGGAGCAGGGGTCCGAAGCTCGTAACCTCCATGGCTCTGGCATCACGGTCTCTGGCCAGTGTCGACGCGCTGAATGCTTCGGGGAGGTCTTCGCGCTTGATGTCTGCCATCAAGGCGGCTGTCGCTGCGGCCGTCGCGTGAGACGACCGACCATACTTGATGGTAGAAACGCGGGCTCTCTTCGGAGCAGGAGGCATCGCTACTCAACGAAGACTAACAGCTTGAGCCAAAAAAGGCTACGGCCAACACGTTGCACTGTCAATTGTCTGGTTGTCGTTGTGATGTTGCGGTGTGTCGTGATGTTGTCGTGCGCCTGCTTTTGTTGTGTGTTGGCTGCTGTGTGCGTGTGCATTGGCACTGGCCATGCCATTTGCTATGATATGATATGTTCTGTCATGCTGCCATCAGCTGCTATGCGTTGTTGCGGTGTTACCTTGGCGTTGTGTTGTGTTTTATGCACACCGCTGTCATACTGTTTGATGTGGCTGATCGGGTGCTTTGCTATGCGATACCAGCTGTTCGAATGCTGTGCTGCCACTCGTTGTTGTGCTCTGGCATGCGAGTGATACGCGGCACGGCGCGACGAGGCCGCTTAGAGGCCACATAGAGGCCACAACGTTTGTTGGTCAACCAGGCCACTTATAGAGGCCATAGGGGCACCGCGGCGCCACTTAGAGGCCCCAGCGTTTGTTGGTCTAAGAAGGGGCTGGAGAGCCCGACGGTTGACGACCAGCGGGGTAGAGGGTGGCGGCTTGTTTTCGCGAAAAGCCGTGCGGTATACAGAGCGAACTTACTGCGTGCGCTAGCGGTCCTTCATCCCTGGCATTTGTCCTCCTTCCCCATCCTGCGCACCCTCGAGTGCACGACCGAAAGCTGCCAGGTCGCATATATATATATATAGATATATGTATACACGAGCGCACCTGTCGGACACAGCAAGCAACAATTGCGAGGGAATTGTCTGAAGCGAACCCCGATGCTTGCATCATTCACCACGTGCTTGCGATTCCCACCAAAACTAGGAACAGATGGCTCAGCTCTTCCAGGCCTCAGCTGCCACAGCGAAGCCCCACTTCGCGATCTCTGTCACGACCGAGGGCTCGAGTCCGCCAGCCTTCGCCTGGCTCTTGGCGCGGCCGTAGGCGCGCGACGCAAAAGTATTGCAGTCGCGCCCGTCGATCGACTCCTTCGCGATCACATCGCGGATGTCGATGGTCACGCCGTTCTTAGTCATCACGCCTTCACGCGAGGGGAGCTGCAATGGTAGTTATTTCGCAAGAGTTCTGGCGGCGACGCGGAAGCCCAATGTGGACCGACACTGGGCCCAAGAGACGGGCCCTGCCAGGGTCGACCTGTCCCTTTCGGCAGCCCTGGTTCTGACTCACGCCCTTACTTCTGAGCGCACTCCTCCTTCCCAGTCCTCCCCCATCATCCCTGCCCCCCCTCTTCGCCCCAAGGAAAGCCTGGATGTGCGATGCGATCCCCGTCTGCGCCATCTATTTAGTCATCCTCCTCCTGCTCTTCCTCGCCCTCCTCGTCCCTCCGTCTCCTCCTCCGTTGCCAGCGCCCCGAACCTTTCGGGTCCTTGCCCTGGGGCTTCGCCGCAGCCTTGGCCCTGCCCTTGGCATTGCCTTTGGCCTTGGGCTGGGCTTTGGCCTTGCCTTTGGCCTTCGGAAGCGGCGACGCCTCGTCCCCGTCGGCATCGGCGCCGTCCTCGATAGCGATAGCGATCGCCGCAGCGGGCCGCCTGAGCACTGGGCCCCGCTGGTAGTGACTGCCAGCCGCAGCCGCAGACTCGTTCACCTTCGCCTCCAACGCCTGCGCTGGGTCTGGCCGCGGGGCAGGAGGGCCACCAAGAACAGGCTGCGGCGTTGCAGGCGAAGCAAACGCTGGCGTTGCCTCGCCTGCACATGGGACGACTGCACCGCTAGCGGAGGACGGCGGTGGCGGCGACGGGTAGTCGCTCGATGGCCCGGACAGCTGGGACTCAAACCCCGTGAGGTCCTGCTCGGAGTTCGCAGCAACCGCTGCTAATTGCATCGTAGCAGCAGACAGCGTCCCGTGATGGCTCGCGAAGCTCATTGTCTCAGTCGGGGCCAAGCTGGGAGCTGCACTGCCACGCTGTGAAGTCCTGTTGAAAGTGATCGGGCAAGCTTGGCCGCGTCCGCGAGCATCGGGGTTGCCGCCTTTCATCAGCTGGTTCACGAAGGGTGCCATCTGCATGAGGAACTGCATTCCCTGCGCGGTGGACATGCCCTCCATGCCCATGAAAGGCCCGCCGCTCGAGTGCGCACCACCTGGGACTGCCAGGGCCGAGGATGGGCTTGACGATGTCGTCTGGGCCGCCTTCAGGGATCCGTGGTTGTGCTTGTAGCCAAACGAGCGCACGGCAGCATCGAGGGCGAACGGGGTCACCGCCCCTGGAGTGGCGGCAGCAGGGCCCCCATCCTTGTAGGCGAAGGTGCGGGACGACTGTGGCATGTCAGTGGGCGGCTCCCATGATATTTTGACGTGCTGCGATGGGTGGTCCCGCTGCGAGTCGATGGACTTGATGGCGCCCTTCAGCGTCTTGCACCACTGCTGCTTGGTCTCGGCCGTAGCGCCTCGGCTCTCAGCCGGAAGCCCGACCAAGACAACCTTGGCCACTGCGCGCTTGAGCAATGGTATCGACGGGCACGTCACGCCCAGCAGCCACAAGCGCTCAGCCAAGTGGTGGAGCTTGGCCTCAACGGATGTCCCAGAGTCGGCGAGGCAAGCCCAGTCGCGATCGGTCAAGTACCTCTCCACGTACGTCATCGTCTGGTTCTCCCTGTGCTGCTTCTGGCCCCTCTGCTGCGCGGGCCTGCTGGCCTGCGCGGCGACGGCAGTGGCCAGCGCAGTCTTCTCCGTGAGGCCCCATGGGCCATTCACAATCTCAATGGAGATCATCGTGACGTCGTTGACGGTGAGTTGCCCAGCAGCGCGAACCTCGACGAGGAAGGCCTGGGCCTGGCTGACGAGGAGGGTGTCGCGATCGAGGCCAGCGGCAACCTGCGACGCCACGAGGCTCGCCCTCGACCTCAAGTTGGCTATCATCTGCTCGGCAGTTGCCATGGGACCGACTGGCGGGATCAAACGCGTGGGCAGTGCTTGGGGTGGACGCGAACAGAGCCTCAAACAGGTTTGAGCCAAAACGGCTACGACTGGGCGGCTGGCTGTGGGCAACAAGATACTGCAGAAACCAATATTCAACCCGCAAAGCGCTGACACGGACCGATTGCATTAAGGTGGGCGACTCGCAACCTTGCAACCACTAGCGCAGCGTCGATAGTTGCATCGGCGCGTGCCAAGGAGACCCCAGGGTCTCGCGGCCAAAGCCCACTTGGGGCACCCATCGCCAAAAGGGCGGAGGCGAGCGCCGTGATCCTCCTTCTGCTGCTAATCATGTCTCCTCATCCTCCTCATCCTCATCCTCGGTCTTCCTCTCCCCCCTTCCACCCCGTGGAACATGAGACGAAACGAGTACCAGGGGCCGCTGGTACGTATGTTCTCCCTCCTCCACGCTCCTCAACGCTCCTCCTCCTCCTCCTCCTCCTCCTCCTCCTCCTCCTCCTCCTCCTCCTCCTCCTCCCCCTCCGCCTCCTCCACCGCCTGATCCTCCTCCTCCTCCTCCCTGCTCCTCCCTCTCCTCCTCCTCCCTCCTCCTCCCCCTCCTCTCTCTCCTCCCCCCCCCTTCGTCTTCATATCCCCTCGCTCCCTCGCGTGGAACACGAGGCGGAAAAAAGTACCAGGGGCTCCTGGTACTTTTGTTCTCCATTCTCAACGCTCCTCAACGCCCCTCCTCCTCCTCCTCCTCCTCATCCACCTCCTCCGCATCCTCTTCATCCTTGATCCTCCCTCTCCTCTTCCTCCTCCCTCCTCCTCTCCTCTTCCTCCTCCGCCTCCTCCGTCTTCCTCCCCCCCACCCCTTTCCCTCTGGAACATGAGACGAAAAAGTACCAGGGGGCCCTGGTACGTTTGTTCTCCCTCCTCCACGCTCCTCAACGCTCCTCCTCCTCCACCACCGCCTCATCCTCCGCCTCCTTCCTGCTCCTCTCTATCCTCCTTCTCCTCCCCCTCCACCTCCGTCTTCCTCGCCCCCTCCCTCCCCCTCATGGAACATGATACGAAAAAGTACCAGGGGCCCTGGTACGTTTGTTCTCCCCCCTCTACGCTCCTCTCCTCAACGCTGCTCTCCTCTCCCTCCTCCTCCTCCTCCTCCTCCTCCTCCTCCTCCCCCTCCTCCTCCCCCTCCTCCTCCTCCTCCTCCTCCTCCTCCTCCTCCTCCTCCGTTTTCCTCTCCCCCTTCCCTCCCCCTCGTGGAGGCCCGAGAGGGCTCCAACGCGCCGTCAAGAACGCCCAAAACTGTCCCACAAGGCACCCACAGGCGGCAATGACGACGACGGGCGACGACGGACGACCGAGACGACGACGGCGACAGCGACGACGCACGACGGACGACGACTCCGACGACGAAGGACGACGTACGACTCAGACTTCTTACGAACGAGGGTGCCTGATCGGGACCGCTCATACGGCCTGTCGAGACGATGGGCAGCGGCGGGCGCGGTGGCGGAGGGGGTGCACGGGCAGCCTGAGTAGTTCATGCCGACGAGGGCGGGCAGGGCGGGCGGCAGAGAGAGGCGCAAAGAGAGACGCCGTCGCGCCGCAACCGACGCCGATCGCCACGGCCGCCGCCGCCGCGGCCGGCCAGGGCTGCCGCCGTCGCGCCGCGGCCACCGCGCGTAGCTCACTCCTCAGGGCGAATGAGCTACATGTAGCTCACTCCCCAGGGCGAGTGAGCTACATGTAGCTCACTTGCCCTGAGGAGTGAGCTACGCAGCACCACTCACCCTCATCACTGGATGGCGTAGCTCACTCCCCAGGGCGAGTGAGCTACATGTAGCTCACTCGCCCTGAGGAGTGAGCTACGCAGCACCACTCACCCTCCTCACTGGACGGCGTAGCTCACTCCCCAGGGCGAGTGAGCTACGTGAGCTACATCTGGCCCGCTCAGGATCTGCAGGGGTGCTCTGGAGCCCTGGGGAACTGGAGTCCTGGGGCCCTGGATCCCCACGGCGCCGCGGTCCTGGAGTCCTGGGGCCATGGGGTCCCACAGTCCTGGATGCCCCAGAATCCTGAAGCCCCTGTGCCCCCCAGCCCGCGAGGGCGAGGATGATGCGTAGAAGGGGGGGTGAAGACGACAGGGAGGGGAGGAGAAGGAGGAGGAGGAGGAGGAGGAGGAGGAGGAGGAGGAGGAGGAGGAGGAGCAGGGAGAGGAGAATGAAGATGAGGATGAGGATGATGATGGGTGGACTGATGATGAGGATGTGGATGGGAAGGATGATGACGATGGGGGATGATGAGGATGAGGATGATGATGAGGATGAGGAGGTCGATGAGGAGAAAGAGAATGAGGACGCGGATGAGGAGGAGGGGTAGGGAGGAGGGATGGCGTGAGACGATGATGGGGAGGCGGGCGCGGCGGAGGAGGAGGATGATGAGGACCGCGACGGGGGGGAGGAGGATCAGGCGGAGAAGGATGATAAGGGAGAAGATGATGGCCAGGAGGAGGAGGATCAGGGGGGGGGGGGAAGGGGAGGATGAGGATGAGGAGGAGGAGGAGGAAGAGGAGGAGGAGGAGGGGGGGGGATGATGGGGAGTAAGCTATATCCCCACTCTCGGATCCAGATTGAGCTCCTCGGAGTTCTCTTCTTGTCCCCCTTTCTGCGCGCCGATCGCTATGCGACGCTAGACGGGACCTAGCAGCCAGACCAGCCGCAGTGACCCCCGCGGAACAGCACAGAAGGGCGAATTAGCATGGAGGAAACGGGTGGAATCTGGAAGAGGGGGAGGATAAGTATGGAGGCGGGGGAATGTGTTGATGAATGAGATGGGTGAAGATGAACCCTCAGTCGGACTCCTCAAACATGTCGCAGAAGTCCTCGAGCAACTCGTGTGCCTTCTGAACATCTCTGCGGATGCGATCCAAGTTCAGGTTCACAAGCAGCCGCTCGAACTTGTCCAAGGCACACGATACTTTGCGAAGGAGGGCGGCGCCAGCGATGTTCTTCGGCTCCAGGTCGAAGTCGGGAGCCCCGACGCCCCATCCCCGCATCGTGTTCTGCGCGTCCCTCAAGGAGTCAAGCGTGACCTTTGTCACGTCCCGAGCCTCGCCGAATGTCGAAGACTCGGTGAGCCTGCGCCACTCAGGGCACGGATCAACGACCCCTGGCACGGCTGCGGCCCCACGGCTGCGGCTGTTGGCTCCACGGTTGCTAGTGGCTGAACGGCTGCGGCTGCGAGCCCTGGTGCGGCTCTGGGGTGCTGGCTCTGCGAAATCGATGCTCCTCGGGGTGTTGGAAGAAGCTGAGTCGGACGGGACCTCCTCCATCGCGCTGCCTGCGTGCCGTGGCGCCCTCGGGCTGGTCCGATGTTGTGTATGGAGGGTGGGCCCAAACAGCACTAGAGCCAAAATGGCTATGACCACGCATGCGCGCCCAGTCCGACACGCCCCTCACACGTTTCGCACACCTCGCACTTCGGTATTGTCTTACATTCCCGTTGTTTGATCTTGGTCGGGGCGCATGGGGGCCTTCATGGATTGTGCTTGAGTGTTGTCATGATGGGGTCTGCGCGTTGAGGGCCCTGATGGCACGCTAGAACCTGACGGCGTAGACCCTGCATTGTTTTAAGATTGGGGGTGGGTGGGTTGAGGGCAGGGGGGGATGCACGGGTCGCAGGGTGCCGCGTATCCGATTGGGTTCTCATGAGGCAGGGGGGCGCATGGGGCCGCATGCGGTGGATGGCATGGGCCTCAGGGGGGCACGTATCCTATTGGGGCTTCATGAGGCAGAGTGGCCACATAGGGCAACGGCAACGACTATCCCACACATAACGGACGGGGGGTGCGGGCTGTGCAGGCCATTATGTCACGCTATCCCACTTAGGGGTGGTGGGGCCACATTGACATGGGTACCATCCTACACATGGGGCCGCTATGACGCGACTGGGAACCCACAAACGCGCGAGGTGCAGCAACTCCCGACCACCTCCAGGCGTGTGAGAAGCACGATTGCCAACCACATCCAGGCGTGTAAGATTCTGGTGGAGGAGGACGGGGGAGGAAGGAGTGCGGGAAGGAAGGAAGGATGATGGAGGAGGGGGGGGGGGGCGAAGGAGGAAGGAGGAGGAAGCGTGTGAGACGCAACTGATGCATCACATCCCTACATCCCTGCGCTTCGCGCAACTCGCACGGCCGAGCAGGGCAGGGAAGCGCGGGGATGACATGGGGCACATGTGACCGAGAGGGAGAGAGAGAGAGAGAGAGAGAGGGAGAGAGATAGAGAGATGGTCTGAAGTTGTTGCATGCACGTTCCCCGTGAGCACCGCTGGTAAGCCCAGACATCCAGCCTTGCTGCTTGCGCGCGCGAGGCGCGCGTGCTAGCATTGCACGCAACCCTCATTCTAAGCGGCCACAGCAAATCCGATATCACTGAGGCGGCTCGGTATGGTATTTACTCCGCCACTCCAACAGCACACTCGTTGTCTTATCGGCCTCGTCCGGGCGGCGGCCGGGGCCCCCCGACACGTTCAGCTTGAGCGATTTCGAGAGCCACCTGGCCTTTGTGCCAGAGAAGTGCTGGACCTTCAAGGCCATGCGGTAGGGAACCCATGAAACGAGGTCACGGGAGATCTTGGGGGCCTTCATGCGATAGGGAACCCATGCGATAGGGAACCTTCAAGGCCATGCGATAGGTCATTGGAGATCCTGGGGGCCCACGCTTCCGAGCTGCGGGGAAGCGGCTTGGGCTGAAGAACCGCCGCGTTGGCCGCGGTGAGCTCCATCACCAAGTGGCTCCTGCGACAGGGCGCGGTCCTCACCAGCATGGTGTGAGACGCACCGGCATCGCTCCTCACAGTGATGGTTACGTAGCCTGGCGATGGGGGTGGGCGGGGTGAGGGCTGCGCCTCCCCATCCTCCCCATTCCCCCCTCCTCCTCCTCATATTGCTCCTCATCCTTCTAGTCCATCGCCTCATTCCCGTCCGAGCCCCCCCCTCGGCCTTTGCTATCGCTTCGTGTCTTCTTCCCCCCTGAAGCTCCCAAGCGCGCCAGCTGGGGGATTGGTTGGGCGCAGGGACGCTTGGGCCGCCATGCGGCCCTTGGGCGCATTGGGGCCCTCGGCCCCCCTCAGAAGCATCCGAACCCATTGTGGCGCCATCATGGCAAATCTTCCTCGTCCTCCATCCGCCTCATCTCCATCATTCGTCTCGTCGCCATCATCCTCCTCAATTCCGCTGTCGGTTCTCCTCCTCCCTCCTCCTCCATCTCCTCCTCATGCTCTCTTCATCTTGGCCCCTTCGGGCAGCCGTCGCGCCTTGGACCAGATTGAACGCGTCCTTCTTCGCAAGCTTCTGTGGCGGCGGCTGGCCATCGTCCTCATCGGCGTCCCGCGGGGCGGCAGCAGAGGTCATCATTGCCTCTGAAGCCTGGGTGCGCGACTTCTGAAGCTCATCGAGCATATCGAAACCGTTCTTGCATAGCCATTTCAACCCTGGAGCGAGCCGATCAATCTGTATTCAAACCTTTTTATCCTTGACCATGCGCGGTGCAACCCAAGACTTGGCCAGGGGGGGTGGCCTCGCCATTCGCAATGACGACGTAGTCCTCCTTGATAACAACCATCGTGATCTGGACGGTGGTTGCGGGAGGGGTCGATGACAGGAGCGATGAACTGGCTCGAGCCAAAAGCCTACGACGACAAACCGAAAAACCAAAGAGCGGAGGCGGGTCGCTGTTTGCTCGGTTTGATCTGCCTCGGGGTCAGGGTGCCATCGTAAAACGTTATGCCCATATGAATGCTACTCTCCTCTCTCCCCTGATGGTCGCCGATCCCTATGCATAACGCGTGCTTAGCTTGTTGTTGGCGCTACCGCGAGCACGGTTGCGTGCACGTAACGTCGGGGCACGGGGGGGTGTCGGTGGCACGGTATTATATGAGGCACGAATGTGCGCGCACGAGTGCCTCCAGGGGGGGGGGGGGGGGCTCCAGGGGGGGCCTCCAGAGAAGAGGAGGAGCAGGAGGAAGCCTTGCTCCTCCTCTTCCTCCTCCTCCTCCTCCTCTTCCTCCCCCCAAGGTCTCATCGCGCCACGTGCTCACGCCAAGCGGGCCAGCTGACAGTTGCTCGCATTGAAGAGTTGCGATCGCGGCTGGGACATATAGCAATGAGACGGCAGTCAGAGATGGCGCAGATGAGAATGAGGGCGAGGAGGAGGAGGAGGAGGAGAAGAGACCATGAGAAAGAGAGGGACGGTGAGAAGGAGAAGGAGGAAGGGGCGAGGGAGGGGGAGGAGGAGGACGGGGAGGGGGTTGGCGCAGAGCTTAGTGACGATGGAGGAGGCAGGACGCTTTGCTGCAACGTGTTAACATAGCGCCGAGCTGTGCAATGTTCCACACACAGCATAAACGCATGCTACCTACTTCCAAATTCGACATGCACGCATGCTGCCCTGCAGGCTGTGTGGCGCCCACGGAGTGGCTATGTATTATAACTCAGGGCGAATGCGTCGAAATAGAATCGACGGGCGGCTGTAGAGCCGAAAGCACGAGCGCTGCGCCGAACGCAGTCGACACGCGCGTCACGGTACCGACTGGGCTGAGTTTCCGACACGCCTTTCTGAATGAGTTTCTTTGGTGAACAAATCCCCCCATGGCCCCTAACGCACCATCTGACACGTCCTACTTGCGAGCCGTCTTGGGCGTGGGCGCGGCGGAGCCCTTCGCCTGCTTCGAAGGGGACTGGGCGACAGCAGCAGCAGCGCGGACCAAGGGGGACATGCACTTGCCCCTTCTCCTCGGAGGCGCCACTGCCCACGTATTTATCGACGATATCAACCTTCACGACGCTGTTGATCATGTTGTGATCGGCTGCTCCAGCGGGAACGGCCCAGTACGGCGCGATGAAGGCGCGCTTCTTCCCGCCGCTTGCCGCTGCAACGTGAGGCCACACCTGCGTCGGGGCTACGTATGCAACAACACCGTCGGGCATGCCCTGCACCACAGGGAACTCCACGGCGTTGGGCGGCACCCTCAGCTTGGCGCAGGCGCAGCAAGCCGTGGACAGGGGCACCAAGATCAGCTTCCCCTTCTCATATTTATGCTGTGCAACCACCTGCTCCACCTCGGTCTTAGCGGAAGGCAAGACCTCGTGGTGGATCACCACGGCCACGTCAGTGGATTCCGCCCTGAACGCGAAGTGCAGTGCGTCCTTGGCGCTGCTCAGCGCCTGGTCCACGAGGATGGCGTGGTCGTCCGGTGGCGGAAGGAAGGGGGGGGAAGGGGGGGGGGGGTGATAGCGAGAAGGGGAGGCAGCGGGCTGGGCGCATCAGGAGGTGGATGAGGAAGAGGGGGAGAAGGATGAGGAAGAAGAGGCGGAGGAGGAAGCACCCTCAACTTGGTGGCTGGCGCTCCAGGCCTGAAACGTGCGGAGGAGGAGGAGACGGAGGAGGAGGAGAAGAAGGATGGGGGGCTACGATTGAGGAGGATGAGCAGCAGCAGCAGCATGAGTAGACATCCTCAACCTGACGGCTTGCAATCAAGAGCTGAATCGTGCGGAGGAGGAGGAGGAGCAGGAGGAGGAGAATGATGAGGAGAAGGAGGGGGAGAATGAGGAGGATAATGAGGGTATGAGGGATGAATCGAGGAGGGATGGGGTGAGGAGGAGGATGAGAAGGATGATGAGAAGGAGGGTGGGGAGGAGGGGGAGGGGGAGTAGGCAAATGATGAGATACCCATGACAGGCTGGCGCTCCAGGGCTAAACCGCACTGAGGAGGAGGAGAAGGAGAAGGAGGAGGATGACGAGGGTGAGAAGGAGGAGGAGGCGGGGGGGGCGAGGATCCAGGAGGAGGGGGAGAATGATGATGAGGAGGAGAAGGAGGCATGATGAGGAGGGCCCCGCAGCGGTCCGCCAGCGCTCCCCTATTGACCGCCAGCTCGAACCTCTGGCGCTTGGGCAAGGCCTGAAAGGCTGAAGATCGCAAGCGTCAGACCTGATCGGCGCCCGACTGAGTCGGCCGATGCCGCGCCGCCCGCTCCTCTCCCGCCAGCCAACGCCACCCTCGGGGTGCAGTCGGCGAGCGGGCGATGGAGAGGGCTGCGGGCGTCGGCGCGAATCAGGCGAGCGCCGAACAACTCTGGGTGAGGAGGGCGGCGTCGTGACCGAAACCCGATGTGGGTGATCAAAAGGCGGGAGAGGATGAGGGGGAGGAGGAGGATGAGAAGGAGGAGGAGGAGGAGGATGAAAAGGAGGAGGAGGGGGAGGAGAAGGAAAACAAGAGAAGGGGTCTCGTCCACGAGAAAGCTTCCGAGGGCCACGCAACGCTGACCCCCCCCCCCCCAGAACCGCCCACCTTCCATCGAAAACCACGGAACCACCAGGACGGAGGAATGATGTTTCTTGGCATGCGCGCCCCCCCCGTTTCAAAGGAACGTGGGTTCTGGTGCTGCCCTCCCTCCGCTCTCTCCTCTCCCCCATGTTCTCTGCGTCCCTTCCTCCTCCCTCCTGCCCGCCTCCTCCTCCCCCTCCGCCTCCTCCTCCTCTCCCCCCCTCAGTTCGACCATCCGCCTCCTCATTCTCGCGGCGCCATCTTCTCCCCCTTCTTCCCCCCCAGCTTGCCGTCCACTTCAGTCGCGACCATCCTCCTCACCCCCCTCACCCTCCTCCGTTCCCTCCCCCTCCTCGTCCTCATTCTCCTCGTCCTCTCCTTGTTTTACCGCGAGTTCCCGCATGCATCACCTTGTGCAAATCAACCAAGCTCATGACATCGACCTTCTCCACGTTGCTCGAGACCGATCCGTCCTCGGACTCGCCCTTCAGCTCCACAAACGTGTTCATGTCCGAGCCGATGCTGGCGATGGTCCACTTCGTGAACTCAGCCGAGAGTGGCTTCGTCTTCAGCTCGATCTCCGCACCGAGCTCGAAGCCCGCGGAGGCGACAAACGCTGCGGTGGGGCCGCCTGCAGCCACGTTCCGAAAGCCGACGCAGCTGCCCTTGGCGACTGGCCCAGTTTGCGCCATGGGGGCCCACGGCGGCTTGACCTTGTTAACGAATGGGACGGCGTCCGTGACCTTATCGACGAACTCCTGGCCAATATGCTGGAGGCTGGGCGGCAGTTGCTTCCCTGGCAGCGGCTTCTTGAGCAGAAGCATGACGCAGCCGACCTCAAACGACCCCGGGAGCTTCAAGAACATGGAGTTCGAGAGGTGCACCTTCGCGTCCAACATGTCAGCGTACCATTCGTGAGCTGCCCGCACCATCCCTACGATCTGAACGAGCTGCTGCCTGCGATCTTTGAGCATCGCCGCAACGTCAGTGCTGTTCAGGAGCTTGCTCGTGGTGGTGCCAGTGTGGCAATACTTGGAGGGCGAGACCATTGCTGCCTTCAGCATCGCAAACACCGCCTCTGGCATGCGGTCGATCTCCAAGCCCGCCAGCATCTTGAATGTAGAGCCTTGGACACCAGCTCGACTGCGAAGTGTTTTGGGCCAGGCGTCCAACTCTCTCAGGCACGAGCCTGAGTCGCCTCCGCTCCACCGCTCGACGAAGGCTGTCATATCCAAGACCTGGCCCTTGACGTGGGCCTCCGAGGCCTCCGCTGCGCGGGGCACCGCGGCCCACTTGAACTCGCCATGGCTGGCGAGGTTCTGCTTCCCCTTGGTGAACACTTCTAGCAATATCTGGATCTTGGCAGCGGTGCGCTCAGTGTTGTGGCCCGAGTTCAGACACTCAACCAACGCCTGGGCGAGAAGAGGGAACCTTTCATCCACCTGGTAACGGATCGCGCGCCATGGGAAGCCGTTGAGCACAGCATCCGCGTACTCGGGGCTCTTCGCCGTGCACTTGTCGATCGACAAGTGGCCATCCTCAGCGGTGTCGGTCAGGAAGGTAGCGCACCGAGACTCAACCGCGTTCATTCCGCCCACAGTGTGACTTCCACCGACGCTCAGGAAGTTCAGGTCCTCTTTCTGAACAGGAGCTAACATCCCATCGCTGTTGTGCCAGAGCTTCTCATTGAAACCAAAGGCCTCTGATTTGATGGGGTGCGCCTCGAAGCGGCATGACATTGCTGTCTTGGACTGGACGCACCCCCGCGCAAGTATCTTGTCGATCAAACAGTGGGCGTCGAAGGGGTCCAGCCCAGCGCCCGAGCGGTTCGTAATGTGAGGACGAATCAGGCGCGGGGTGATCGTCCTGTCGCAGGCCAGATTGGGATCCTTGAGCAAGCGTATGATGGCTTCACCTTTAGCCATCAGCTGGGACGGGGACCCTTCCTCAGAGTTGACGGCAGAAGCAACGGCCTCGACCCGAGGCGCGACCAGTTCCAAAGCCTGCGGAGTGGACGCCATCGCGTGTTACACCCAGCGATTCTGATGGGTCCGAGGATCCCAAACTCAAGGTCGCCACCTCCGAAGACCAGAGCCAAACTTGCTGCGAAACAAACGGAACTTCTGAAACCAAACAAAAAACGAAAACGATTTGAGGCATCTCCTCACAGCTTCGCCACGCCCTTCTTATCCTTCTTCGCCCCTATCATTTTTTTTCTGGGCCTTCTCGCGCGCTTCGCCGACGCTTAGGTTCTCATCTTGGAATCGAGAAGTGCGTGCCTACGTTTCGAAGTTGGGGCTTTCGGTTTTGGGGCCGAGCTCAATGGATTCCGCCACCCGCTATGTGGGTTAGCAGGTTTCGTTTCCTAGGTTCGCCAGTTGCTAAGTAGGTTACGCAAACCTCCCTTTTCTGGTTAGGTTGGTTGGGCTATCTAGGTTACTTTCCTCTTCAACCTTGGTGGTTCACTGCTTAAATGCAGACCATCATCCCGATCTGTTTCGCCCAAAATGTAAGTGGATGGTGAGGTTGTGTGCGCACATAACATGGGTATAACTTCACATAGGTAGGTTATAACCTCAGTTGCAACTACTTCTATCTAACACAAGTGTCTACTAAACGAGATTTTCCCAGCAAGAACAGAGCTGCCGTGGGTTGGGGTGCTGGTGCCAGGGGCGTCGGTAGGTTCCGGGCGAGAAATTGCGGGGTGGGGGGTCCCAAGAGCTGCCGTGTGTGGGGGTGCCGAGGCAAGGAGGGGGACGTCGGTAGGTTCCGGGCGAGAAATTGTTGGGGGGGGGGCACTAGCAGAGCTGCCGCGGATTGGGGGTGCCGAGGCTAAGTGGGGGGCGTGTTGGGCGAGAAAGTTGCGAGATGGGGTGGGGGGTGAGCCAGAGACTGGGGTGGTCCCAATAACAGAGCTGCCGCGGAGTGGGGGTGCCGAGGCCAGGAGGGGGGCGTCGGTAGGTTCTGGGGGGGAAATTGCAGGGTGTGGGGTCCCAGGAACAGAGCTGCCGTGGGTTGGGGGTGCCAGGGCCGGGAGGGGGGCGTCGGTGGGTTCCGGGCGAGGAAGAAGTTGGGGGTGCCGAGGCCAGGAGGGGGGCGTCGGTGGGTTCCGGGCGAGAAATTGTGGGGTGGGGGTCCCAAGAGCAAAGTTGCAGTGGATTGGGGGTGCCGGGGGCAGGAGGGGGGCGTCGGTGGGTTCCGGGCGAGAAATTGTGGGGTGGGGGTCCCAAGAGCAAAGTTGCAGTGGATTGGGGGTGCCGGGGGCAGGAGGGGGGCGTCGGTCGGTTCCAGGCGAGAAATTGCGGGGTGGGGGGGTTGGGGGGGCCGAGGCCAGGGGGGCGGCGTCGGTAGGTTCTGGGCGAGAAATTGTGGGGTGGGGGGTCGGTCCCAAGAACAGCGCTGCCGTGGGTTGGGGGTGCCGAGGCCAGGAGGAAGGTGTCGATGGGTTCCGGGCGGGAAATTGTCGAGGGCCTGGCGGGGAGCCAGGGTCGGTTCTGGGTGAGAAGTTTTCAGGTGTTGGGTCCGAAGAACAGAGCTACCAGGAAGTGTGGGGGGGGAAGGGTGTCGGGCAAGGTGTGGACCTGGTGGGGGGCCAGGGTCGGTGAGGGGAGGGGGGCCGGGCGAGGTGGGGACCTGGTGGGTGTCAGGGTCGGTTCCAGGTGGGGAATTGTAGGGGGCGTCGACCGCGTTCGTATGGGCTTAGCACATGGGATATCGCACGCGCCTCTGTGGTGGGAGGATTGCAGTGGCAGGGGTTTGGACTAGGGTACGCAAGCATGCTGTTCAATTTTGTTAGTCTGATGTATGCGATCGGTGCTCAGAGGCTCCCGTGTTTGCTTTTCATCGCTACTGGTTGTGCAAGCATAACACAAGTAATCCTGCATTCTCGGATTCCGAGCAGTTCGTGGCGGAGGCCGTGACCGGCCAGGAGATGCATGCATGTTTCTGGAGCGGCGGCATCATTTCCGCGCTGTGGACGCAGGTGTCGGACCCAGCCGCGGAGGAGCTTTGGAGAGGAGGCAACCTGTGCGGCGACGGAGTTGGGCCAGGCTGCTTAGGGCATGGCACGCCCGAGGCTCTCCTCCACGCCTTTGGCGTCGCCTCAGGAGGAAAAGACGCACGCGGCCCCAGATTGCGACGAGTCGGACTGGCCGTTTGTGTGATGCATGAGTTTAATCCTCTCAGTGTGGGGCCGTACTTGTTCGGACCACTTGTTAGTGGAGTTCAGACGGTTGCCAAAGGTGAGTTGGCCGCCCTCGAGCGCGCCATGCGGTGTGCGACTGGCCCCATGATTTTTCGCAGATTGCGAGGAGGTACGGCTGCGCGACCAGCCGGCGGGGCAGTTGTCTGGGATCTGGCGCCAGATCGGGCGACGTCCCCAGCGTCGCAATGCCGCCGAGATCGCCATCCTCCAGATCCCGTCACACCTCGAGGCCGAAGAGGTGGTGCGCCGTCAGCATCCAGGCTGGATGGTGCAGGGGAACGAGGTGGTCGATGGGCTGGCCCAGCAGGCCGCTGACGATCATCGGCTACCCGAGGTCGAGCGGCACCGCGTGGCCGCCGTCGAGCAGAAGGCGCTGCTGGCACGGATGCGGCAGCTGCGTGCCGCGCTGTCCTGCATCCAGCTGGAGAGGGACCAGGCGGCGGAGGCGGCGTGGGCGCGGCATGAGGCGCGGCGTGCGCCCCATGAGGCCGCGGCTCCTTTGCCCCCGCCCCCCCCCGCTCCCTCTGCCCCTCCCCCGCTTCCTCCTGTGGTCGCACGCTTCGCGACGGCCCGCGCCCTGGACGAGGAGGGCAGGGGCTGCCTTGTGTGCAGGGGGTCAGCTAGTAAGGCCTTCCGGATCCATTTGTATAAAAGTGAGTGCGCCCCCTCTCGATGCTGTAGGTGGTAGTGTGTCTCGGGTCCGTCGGGGGTGCCGTATGCATATCGCTGGAGGTTGGGCCCACCCTCGCACGCCCTAGTGTATCAGCATAGCCTTGGCGTCTGGTTCTGCAACGTCTGTGGCTACTCTGGCCGGGCCCAGCTCAGGGGTTTCAGTCGCCCTTGCAGTCTACCCATGTCCAGGGCGCGCCGCGACTATCTCGATCGGTAAGTCGTTGCTCGTCCCCCAAGGTCTAACCGAGCTTCGAGCAGGGTTTCGAGTAGAGAGCTCAAATTTCCGCTACGCGAAGGCTGTAATCCCTGTAGTCCCTCCTCCTCCTCCTCTTCCTCCTCCTCTTTCTCCTCCTCCGCCTATTCCCACTCTTCATCATCCTTTTCTACTCCGTTTTCTTATGAATAATTTCTCTTTGTCGCACCGCGAGGCCAGCTTTTGATGTGGGCCAGTCGCTTCGCCTGAGACTTCCTCACCACTTATGATTCTGAAGCTCAAACATTGGCAACAATTTGACAGATGGAGGGCGGATGGTTTTCAACATGTGGCTCTCGCCTTAGCGCCGCGCGCATTCGTTGTTAATGCTTGCAAGAGTTTCGCGGATTGGGGGTCACCCGTTTTCAGTATGTGGCTGTCGCTTTAACGCCGCGTACACTCGGTCTTAACATTTGCAATATTTTCACGGATTGAAGGCGGTTCCTTTTCAAAATGTGGCTCTCGCTTTAGCGCCGCGCACACTCGTTCAAACAAGTTGCACGAGTTTCACGGATTGAGGATATCCGTTTTCAACATGTGGTTCTCGCCTCAGCGCCGCGCGCATTCGTTTTGACAATATGTAATCTTTTCAAGAATTGACAGCGGTCCCTTTTCAAAATGTGGCTCTCGCCTTAGCGCCGCGCACTTTTTTCTAAACATTTGCAAGTTCATGCACGGATTCCCGCGATGAGCCTTCCAAAAATAACATTTAGGAAGGATTCAGGACTTTGCGGTGCAACAGTTCCGTTGATTCGCGTTGTTGAAATGCCGGAATTGGCGTTCTGGCGCAATCCACGACCGTCAACACGCAACAGTCAGCATGACCCGTGGCGTTGGAATCCCGAGAACATTTTTTTGGTATGCTTCCGGGTCTCCAAACGGTTGTCTTCAAACGAGGCAGATCCCTCAATGGAAATGATGAGCCGTCGTAGGGGTCTATGGAGATAGAGCTTGGAAGGAGGGTGTATTCCAACATCGTTGATGGTTCTTGGGTTTACAGTGGTCCTCCTCCTCCTCCTCTTCCTTGTGTGGATTGCGACGTAGCGCGTAGGAACTGTTGCCGTCTTAGCCCCTCTCTCCATGCTCGGAAGCCAAGGACGGCCGACGGGCTCGTGCGAATGTTGTCTACGCTGGGAAAGCCCAGCAGTGACAGCAGCAGCTGAGCAGCTCAGCTCTGAGGATGGTTCTCCTCGAGGGTTCATCCCCTCTCTGGTTCTCCCCTTTGCCTGTATCGCGCTTGCGCCTTGCACGGTAGTTCGATGAACTTGTTGGGATTGTTGGGAGTGGAGTTGCGGGTGGGGGGTGTATGTAAAGCGGCAGGAGAGAGGAGAGGACGAGACGGAGGAGCGTCAGCCATTCCATTTTTGTAGTTTGTGCGCAATTACCAAGCAGGACAGCCGCATATATAATGGCAAGGCTTATACAAGCATCCGGGCTTGTCGACCCTGGCGTGTATTTTTGCATTTTTTTCTTAGATTCGTTTGCGACGTCTTCGCGCAGGTGCACTCCTCCTCCGCCTCCTCGCCGTGCTCACGATAAAACGGTTATTGGGTTCGGAGGATGGGGCTGGGAGATGTGAGGATATCTTTGCCCGCAGGCGGCCGAAGGTATCGTTCATTTCATCCGGATGCTATTGCTCATGCCCTTCAGCCTCCCAACCCCTTCCTCCCAACGCGATCATTGTCATCCTCGCGTGCGAGGCAGGCGGTGTGGGAGGGAGGAGCAAGACTTGGGAGCTGGACTGACTGGAGCGAGGGTCTGGGCCTCCCAGGGGGGGTCCAGGCAGATGGAGTCAGAGGATCGCGCCGCATCCCCGATGCATCGGCGATGCGGCGCGATCCGTCGACCCCACCTGCTCGGACGACATCGAGGAGGCCTCTAGACGAGGAGGG